TTTCCTCATCCACACTGAGAAAATACTCTCAGTCACCTCTTTCAGCTTTTCAGGTCCTCTTCAACACGCCATGTAAGTATTGCCTCATTATTCCTCTTTCGGTTAACCCAAATATATTGGCTGTCAGAGACCAAGACACTCTGTATTCCTGGAAACAGAAAAAGAGATGATAGAATTAGGAAGAGATGTTTGATGGTCTAAAAGTGATCTTATATCAGACTTTCAAATATTCCCTGGCAGTGTCAAGACAGGAAAGAGTCTTGCCCAGCACTCTAATATATTGACTGGGTAAATAGTAAGCGCTTGCAGTTCCTGACTTAATCAGAATGAAGTTCATTATGATAAAGAGTTGTGCCCTTTGGTCTTGTTTGCATTAAGCAAGCTCCCAATTTCATTTAATTTCACTCACATCTCTGAAGGAAATTATAGGCTGTAAGGCTGGCCAAGGAATGGGGGTAGGGAGAATTAGCAAGGATATTCAACCAGAGAAGATAGAGGGGAAAGAGAATAGATACCCACCCTTTTGATCAACCCCAATCTAGAAGAGCAATTTTACCTTATTTTTAACTTGAAGTTTGTATCAGTCTCTCTCTCTCTCTCTCTCTCTCTCTCTCTCTCTCTCTGTTTTAAAAACATGTTATCGGGTCATCTAAACCTTTCATGAAACATTTCAGACTTGTATGTGCATGAGCTGGTGGAGATTTATTAAATTTGACACTATAACTGAACATGTTAAAGCATTCTTTTAAGCAAAACTGATTGAAACCCCTGAGGTTAGATTCCTATCTCTTGGCAGATGTTTACTTGATTTCACTCAAGAGAGACCAAGGTAAGGTTAAAACTGCTTCTGGAGTTGAGGATGTTTGCTCAGTAGTAGAGCACTTACGTAACGTGCACCAAGCCCTAGGTTCAATCCCCAGCCCAGCAAGAAAAAAGACAAAAAAAAGAAAGAGAGAAAGAAGGAAGGAAGGAAGGAAGGAAGGAAGAAAAGAAAGAAAGAAAGAAAGAAAGAAAGAAAGAAAGAAAGAAAGAAAGAAAGAAAGAAAGAGAGAGAAAGAGAGAGAGAAAGAAAAGAAAGAAGACAGAGGCAGGTAGAAAACTGTTTCTGGAGACAGTGTTTATCCCTTAGAATGTTTAACTCTACCAGTATGCTAGCGTTAGGAGTTGAACACTATATATCCCAGCTGCTCTCAAGGCCAAGGCAGGAGGCAGGAAGGTCACAGGTTTGAGACTAGCCTGGGCAATATGGCCAGAAACCCTCTAAAAAAAAGAAGGAAAGAAGAAAGGGAGGGAGGAAGGAAGGGAGGAAAAAAGAAAGATATATCTGATCTGTAAAGAGGGATCTGTTCCGTGAACCTTTGTGAGAGCAGCAGGAGGGGGGAATAAATCTGTCATATAGATATGTAATAATATGCTGTTCATACCTGTCCTCTATTTATATTTTTAGAGAAATCAAACAGGCCCCTTGTTTTGAATTCAAAGGGCCAGATAAAAGAATAAGATTTAATAAGTCAATAACTAGAAGTACCTACTTAAAGTCCTTTAGGAATCTCTCTCTCTGTCCTTTTGTTTTTTGAGACAGGGTCTTGCTGTGTATTTCAGGCTAGCCTTGAACTCACTATGTAGCCCGGGCTGACCTCAAACTCATGGCAATCCTCCCGCTTCACCCTCCAGAGTGCTGGGATTACAGGCTGGCCCCACCACAGCCAGCCGGGAATCTTTTATATGTATGCAGGCTACAAGAAACCTGAACATTTCTGGGTGGGAATATGGATAAATGATGTCATTCGACAAAATTAGGACCAGACAGGAAAATGTAAGGGGAGGGGGCACGAATCCAGCCACTAGGTTATGAGAGGCCCCGACTGCTCTTAAGAACATAAACAAATGTCAACTGTGAAAGCAACAGTTTCTGGGATGTGGCATTTCTCATGTGATGAGGGTTGGGACAGGAATTATAATACCAAATAGTGGGCTGTAACAGAAGCCAAGAATGAGGCCCGCGACTCCCACAATAGATTTGGTCACAGTGAAACTATGTCATTTGTTGAACTGTAATCGGTAGGAGCAAGCTTCACGTTGAGCACGTTTTCTCCTAGATTTCATCCTTGGCGACGGATCTAGACCTCAGCCTCCAAGATCTGTTAGAGAAATAAACAAGCCAGAGACAACCAAAACAGCAGACTGGCCGGGAGATGAAGCCCCGCCTTTAGAGGCATCGGGCCAATCAGAAGCCTGTTGCTGGGGCCCAGTGTTTGGCCGCCTTTAGTTCCCATGGAGACGAAAGAAGGTTACACACTAAACACTGGAGACATTGACGTCTATGCATTATATCCTTGGAGACGACAGCGTAAACGTCATCCCCCTCGCCTCCCCGCCCTGCCTTAGCGCCAGGGGCTGAAAGAGCGACGTTGGCGTCGCCGTCACGTGCTGCATGCGGGAGGGAGGCCGAGTAGGCGGGGCCTGTTGCTATGACTGTAGCTGTAGCTGATGTTGTTTGGAGCTGCAATTAGAAAATGCTGAGGCGGCAGTGGAGCCAGAACCGATTCTGGAACGGCGTCTCCCACCCCCGGGCCAGAGAGGTTTCCCCAGCCCCTGGAAAGCCAGGACAGCCCCTAGACTGTCCCAGCACGCCTCAGCCTCGGGTCCAGAGCCAAGATCTCTCTGTGCTGCCAGACTGCAGACTGAGGGCCAAACCTAGACCTCTCCCTCCACTCTCTGTAGGCTGTCACTGTCAGGGTGACCTCTCTAATCGCATCTCCTCCAGACAGACCACAGAACAACCACTGACCAAAACTACCTGTCCCGTGAAACCGGATTGAAACCCAGCTTAGAAAACTCCCACTGTTGGAATAAACCTCAGAATCAAGGAGAATCAGAAAGAAATTTGGCTTTTTTTTTTTTCTTTAAAAGCAACAGAACTTGAGACATTTTGTTCCTTAGAGTTTGCTGAAGACTTGAGGGAGGGGTTCCTAATAACCTCTTTCAAGAGCAGTGCCTCTTATGGGAAGGGAAATCTCAGAAATCCCCGAGGACTGTGATTCCCAAAAATAGGAAGGCCTGAAAAACCTAGATCAATAGCAACTGAAAGGCTGGTCTGCACATTGCTCAATTCTGCCTTGACTACACAAGCCAGCCAAGTACGAGAAATCTCTGTGTGTCAGCCTCCTTTTTGTTCTCACAGCTCTGGAAACAGTTACAGTGAGATCAAAACAACAGATTGTAAACAAGACTAGACCAAGCCGCAAAGAAGTAAAGGGTTGAAATGACCATTTGAAGGCAATCACTGAATAAAATGTAGTTTGAATGATAAGACACAACTGAGGGGCCCCGAGCTGTGAATTTCCTCCAGAAATCACAATCTCAATTTAAATTGTCTTGGGTGGAGGGGCAAAGAGGGTATTATTTGCTGGAATTAAAGAAACAGCCATCCAGGGATTTAGCTCAGTGGCATGGCACCTGCCTTGCAAGCACAAGGTCCTGAGTTTGATCCCCGGTACCAAAAAAAAAAAAAAGGAGAGAGAGAGAAAGAAAGAAAAAGAAAGAGCCAATGGGGCAAGTATACATAGAATGTGTTTCAGGGGATGGAGACATAAAGGAATTCTTGACAATAAATGGCGTTTGGGGTTGGCTTGACATCCTTCCATTCCTCCAGCAACAACTGTCCAATCCTATTGTCCTCAGGGTTCCTTCAGGTTACTCCATAGTAGCCCTGGCTGAGCACCCACCCATTCTGACATTTTACCATCTGCCCACAGAGCCTCTCCATTCCCTTCCAACATTCCCTTGCTCCATCCTCTGACCCACCTATTACTCATTTCCCTGACACCCTTCTCTAAAGAGCTCTCCCCTACCTCCCTTTCCTCTCTAGAGCTACTCCCCAAGTTTCTACCCAGTTGGCCAGCACTCCCTAACTCCTTGCCCCATCCACCCATCCCCACCGTAATGTTTTCCTGGTCCTTAATAGAAGGGAGGAGGAGCCTTTTGGAACTGCAGAGGGAGGGCACAGCCGATGGAACAAAGCCAAACTCGCCACTTAAAATCCCCAATAATACCTGAGACACATACCACATCCAACCATAATGCAGATTCTGCTTATTATAGGACTATACAGAAAACAGCAATGTACTAATTCTGCCATTTTCAGGGAAGTAATGACAAATTCTACTTTTTTTTTGTCAACCAATGGTCCAGCTGGAACCCTTTGAGAATGGTTGACTACTACCTGCCCTCCCAAACTTCACCTAGAACATACTGCAAGGGGAAAGAAACCTCAATTCAGGTTCATGGGAAAACTTGCCTTGGGAGGATAGATTAGATTGTATCACTTTTTGGCATGGCAATGAGTGGTGTTTTGTTTCAGATGTTATGTGATTTGCCCCTAGGTACCAAAATCACCCATCTTACCATGTAAAAAGTAGAGTAGCAGTCTTTCTTATCTTCCAACTTTTAACTCAGAGTTAAGTTACAATGAGACAATTTTGTTTACTGTATGATTCTGTGTCTCTCAAGGTCTGAATTCCAATTCCTCAAGCCCATCAGAGACCCAGCAAGGCACTGACAGAGAGTTTTAGGAAAGAAAAACATGAAGAAGATTTAGCTAGTGCCTTTGATGTGACAGAACAGTATAGAATCCTCTCATGTATGTTATTTCATTTTATCCTCCCAACATCCCTGGAAACAAGGTCCTTTGTTTTTCACTTTGACAACTGAAGAAACTGAAGCTCAAGTAGTTAAATAACATGCCAAGGATGCAGTACAAAGCCAGGCTTCCAATCCAGGTGTCCATTTTTAAATCTTTTGCTCTTCCTACAACCCCACAATCCAATGGAATGCACCAAAAACCACAAGTTTTCCTTTCCACAGATAGACTCTAGTCCCCTTCCCCAAACTTCTTAAAAAGAGAAAAACAGAGGAGATTGAAGATCTTTTGTGAGGTCTGCTGGAACATCATAAAAAGCTGCTGACACCATGCAGTAAGAGCAAGGATCCATGCCTGTCTCTCAGGACTAACCTACATTTCCTCATTGGCCTGAGGTCCAAAAAGATGAAGAGAGACAAGCCTCAGAGCACAAGCAGCTGAAAAGTCTGGGTGGGTTCTGGGAGACTCTGACCTGCTCCAGGCTAGGGAGGGCTCCATCCAAGTTCACAAGCTACCTGGAGAGCTTCCCCTTGATTTATCAGCAGCTGTCACTTAGGACTGGCCCCTCCTCCTTCTTCTCCCCTTGCCTGACCCAGCAGGGAAGCACGTCCAGCACGAATTCCTCCCAACCTCACATGCCTTTAGGATTTAAATGTGTTTGAAGAATTCCCTCCTTGACAAGCAGCATTAGTCAAATGGAGTGGGTGGGAAGGGCATTTGCGGGTGATCCCGGACTCAGAGGAAAGGGAGACCCTCCTCCCTCTCCACCTTGGCAAATAGCTCCTGGAGCCGTCCTTGTGGGTGGCAATGAGTCTAGACAAGCCAGAGGGTTTCTTGCTGGACAGGAATGCCCAGGGGCCACACCTTCCTCAGCCCTCAGAGCACCTCATCGTGTCTGGACCCGCGAGGGGGTGGCAATGCCAGGGAGTGGGTTCTCCTGTGTCTGGCTCCAACAACCAGTTATTGTGATGATTCTATTTGTGTTCCCCATGTTCTATTTGACTTGGCAGCCGGGGAGGGAAAGGGCAGCAAGTTCACTCCAGTTTGTACTGGGTGGTTCCTGCAGCCACACCCAGGCGGTAAGGCAGGCTGCTTGCACTTGCATGGGGGATGCCTTTCCCTGGGGCCCTCTGTGAGCAGAGGCGAGTGTGGGAGGTACAGTATTTCCTTTTTCTGGACCAGCCAGGTGTGGCTGGCATTTCACCTATTCCTGCATTACTAACGTCAGTCTCCCAGGTTCAGGTCAAAGGGCAGGCTTACCAGCCTCGCCTCATCCTGAGATCCAGGATCAAGGATTGGTGATCAAGTTTATTTGGCCTGGATCATCCCAACTCTACTCCCCAGAAATCCTTGGTATGATATTTGTGCTGTACTTGGGAGACTGTTGTCCCCAAAGTTTAAACATGGACTTTGCCACAGCACTCATACAATAGAGATTGTGTCTGTGTTTGTGTTTGTTTTTAGAGACAGGGTCTTGCTGTGACAGCCTTAAACTTGGTGTGCAGTCTTTGTAGCCCTGGCTGGCCTCAAACTTGTGATCCGCTTGCCTCAGCCTCCTGAGTGGTGGGATTATAGCAGTGTATCTCCATGCCCAACTAAGGGTTCTTTTTTCTTTTTTCCTTTGAGGCAGGAATTCTTTTTATTCAAGGTGGAAGCATTCAAAGAGAACAGACTTCACAGGCATGGTGGTGCATGCCTGTAATCCCAGCATTTGGGAGGCTGAGGCAGGAGGATCACCATGAGTTGGAGGCCAGCCTGGGCAACCTAGTGAGTTCAAGGCCAGCCTGAACTACATAGTGAGACTTTGACTCAAAACAAACAAACAAAACAAACAAACAAACAAAAAAACAAGAGAACAGATTTCAAGCTCAAATAGACTCAGTTTCGAGATCTGGATTTGATCCTTTAACTTGTATGCACTTCAGTCCAGAACTAAAATCTCTAACATTATGTTACTACATGCCAGGCAGTGTTCTAAGCATTTTCATTAAAATACACAGAAGCCCCAAAACACCCCAAAGGGCTGAGTAGGTGAATATTATCATTATCACTCCGTGTGTGTGTGTGTGTGTGTGTGTGTGTGTGGTGCTGAAAATGAACCCAATGCCTTACACATGTGGGGGGTGAGCACTCTACCACTGAGCTATATATCCCCAGTCTTTATCATCCTCATCCCTTGCTATCCCTTTTTACAGAGGCAAAGAGAGCTTAGGAAATTGCCAAAGGTCTTTCAGCTTTCACTCGACAGTGCCAGCTTTTGACAGAGGGCATCTGGCTCCAGAACCCATGCCCTGTCCACAGTGGTCACTGCTATTCCTGGAGGGCCATTCTGCTCTGGGGTTGGCTGCCAAGCAGACCTCTCCCCACCCTGTCATCACTGTGCTTCACTTCTGAGGCTCCCACGTCAGCTTTGGAAAGGGCCTCCCTGCTCTTGCCATGAACCCTGGGGTAGCCTTTCCTTGAATTCAAGAATCTCCCAGCTGAAGGATCTTCAGAAGGGCACTAGCTTCCTCTTCACCTGGGCCACGTCTGGCTGATACAGTGTCATCTGGGACCTGTCAGGAATGAGCATTCTGCCCGGAAAGTGAGTATGTGCCTCTTAGGGCTCCTTCGGATGCTGGGGGCTGGCAGGGCTAGGCAAGGGTGCTGGGTGTAACCAAGCATGTTGAGCCGGCAAGGCCACAGACAGCCCTTCCCTGAAGAAAGTGGCACTGACACCTGGGTGATGAAACCATTTCCTTTCCAAGAGAGGTCTGGCAAGGGCCACAGGCTTTGTTCTGGAGGCCACTCCCTACACAGATTTAAGAATATGCATTGTGGGGCTTGAGACAGTTAGAAGAAGAATCACTTCTTAAAGGTTGACAAGGGCAGGTCATTACCCATCACCCTTACTTATTGAGCCTTTCTAGTGCTTTGTGTCGATGATGGGGATTCATTGATTTAACCCTTAAAACAACCTTGTGAGGTAGGTTCCATTCTAATCTCCTTCAGCAGATGAAGAAATAAGGTGCAGAGAAACTGAGATTCAAAACTAGGAACAGTGACTTCTGGGCTGTGCTCAACTACCTCAAGCCAAGTGGAGGCCTTTTCCTTCAGAATCAGGGAAGGCAGGAAACCAGCAAATCCTTGGGTCAGTTCTGTATCAGACTATGGATCTCTAGGACCCTGAGCTCACATCTCAAGGTGTCATCTGACTGGCACCTCAGCTCTCACTGGCCACCCGAGTTCCCTGAGCCAGAGATGGCTCTGGTAACCCCATAGGCTAACCAGGTCTCCACGACAAGCCACAGACTGGACTGGAACCTGGCTGGCCCCACAAAACAGAAAAGCATGGAAACAGATAGTAAGCACACAGTTCTGTCTTATCTTTGGGTATTTGTCTAGCTGTGTCTTTGTCCATCTGGGCTTGGGCTCTGTTCCATGCATGGAGCAAGATCATGCTTGGCCAAAGCTCCCTTCTATTTCTGGTGTCCTTACTTCCACTGCCTCCTCTCCCTCTGCTTCCCCCAGGAAGAAATGCATACTTTGGTAGTATTTAACACTAGCCCTCAAGCTAGATTTCCTGGGTTCGGATCCTAGCTCTGCCCTTATTTGTGAACTACTAAATTTCCAAATTATTCAATCTTTTTGTACCTAGTTGCCTTATCTACAAAACAAGGATAACAATAGTATTTTCTTTACAGTTGTTAGGTGGACAGAGTTGTAGGTGTGGCAAATGCTCATTTGATAAATGCTAGGCATTAGTATTATGGAGGCAGTTTGTTTTATTTTTGCCTCGTTCTCATATACTGAGATAAATTTGTGGACAACTGGTTATAAGCTGTAACCTACTGGGGTGTTGTTTATACACCTTTCCATGTCTTCCTATCATCGATAAACTGCCCAGGGTGGGCTCAAACTTGCTATCCTTCTGTTTCAGCCTCCCAGAGCACTGGGATTACAGCCATGTGCCGCCATACCTAGCTCCCCTCAGCTAAGCTAATGAGACCTCTATCTTATTCTAGGGGAGCCTGTACCTGGATCCAAAGAGATCCATCAGCCTGGGCAATTTAGCAATTTGGTGATACTCTGTCTCAGAATAAAAAGAAGTGGTGGCAGGGTGGGGTGGGGGCTGAGGATGTGAAAGCCTTGGGTTCTATCCCCAGTACGGGGGGAAAAAATTAGCTGAGGGGTCTTTGGGAAATTCCTCAGAGGCAATTTTCTTGATAATCTTAAATGGGTCAACTTGGGAAGGCAGCCAAAGCTACTGAGCTGCTGAGAAATCATGTCAACACCCCAGTATAGATCCTCTCCGTTGGGCACAGCGGTTAGGTTGAAAGTCATGAAACCTAAAATAGTTATTGGGCAAGAGGGTGGTAGGGGATTACTGAGGACAAAGTAAACAACCTTTAAAAAGTCCACCCCATCCCACCCCTGGATCCTCCTGGAAACTCTCACCTCCTTTTCTTAGACTGTCATCGCAGTCTGATTATGAACCATGTCTTAATAGATTTAACTCCTCTTTGGCTTCTAACGTAAGAGCAACACAAACCCACATGCCCTACTAAATACAAGCTGCTGATGATACGGGCCTAGGATAGAAAGTGAACAACCTAACGGGTGAGTTAGTGCCCCAAAGGAGAGTCAACATGAAGGATGCTTTATCTCAAATCTGAACAGAGAAGTGTAATTCCCGTGAAGTGTGATGAGAAAAAAAGAAAAAAAAAAATGTGGTTTGACTCCATCACACAAGTAACTTATAGTGAGTCCTGCCCGGCTGTAGAACTTTAAAAACTTGAGCGTCACGTTTGTGGTTTGGTTGTGTTATCTGATTCTGGGGCTGATACATGCTGCTTTTAGTTCATGGCTATAGAATTTCCAGTCCCCCTTTGGGCTCTTACGTTATGGTTCCAGCACAGCCACACATCTCTCTCCACTATTCAGATGGAACAACTACCTGCAAGGGTAGTCCCCAAGAGACCATAATCACAACAGAGCTGCCGCCGAGAGCTGGCCAGGTGCCACCTACTGCTTTGTCTGTGCCTATTTTTTTTTTGGTACCAGGGATCAAACTGGGGCCCTTGGGCCTTTGAGGCAGGCAGCCAAACCACTGAGCTAAATCCCCAATGCCTTTCCATTCGTTATGCCTACTTCACAGGTTAGGAAACTGAGGCTTAGTACATATGAAATAATTGGTCCAGGGTTCACAGGTACAAAGGTACTGAGCCTGGCTTCAGACCCAGGACTACGTGGCTGCCGAAACTATTTATGCACCAAATTATGCTGCGTTACTGCATTCTTTCCACTTTCTATACTTTTGTTTATGCTGTGATTTGTCCCTTTTCTCCTGCATACCTCTCTAGGACGTCCTCTCTGTTCCATCTGTCTCTCACAGATCTTCCTCTTCTGTTCTATTCCCCCAACCATTCTAGCCTAGAGTAGGATTTTGTCCCACGGTGCTGTGGATTGAACCCAAGGCCTCATACAACCTAGGCAAGCACTCTACCACTAAGCCACACCCCTAGACCCCCTAGGAGGTTTATCTGGAACATTTCCCTTGGCCCTTAGTTATGCATCATCTTGTACTGTTATCCAAATGTTTTATTGCTTAAACTGTGTCTCTCAACAAAATCACAACCCCTCAGGAGTCAAGGTCAGCTTCTCATTCCTCTTTGTGTTTTTACCCAACACTCAGCTTAGAACTGTGCACACAGTGGATGCTCTGTCAGTCTGAACAAATGACAGAAAACTCAAACCAAATGTGACTTCTATGTAGAGGTCATTTTCAGCAGGTGGGATTCATTTTGAGCTTGGCTGCCTTCAACTATAAATCTTTTTGTAGCGCCTCACCTAATGAATAGGTGACCAATAAATATTCACCCAATGAAAGAGAATGATACTCCAGCTCCTTCACTTATGAGCAGCTTGAGCAAGTTATTTTAGCTTCTCCAAGTCTCAGTTCCTCATCTGTAGAATGGGAATAATTCTTGGAGGGTTTATGCTAGAATTAGAGACATGGGAGCCACCTCTCAAGGTCCCGGGCACAGGATAGTTACAATTATTATCACCGTTATTCTTTCATGGGAAATAGTTCCAGCAACTCAAAACCAGAGGACACGGCCGCTGGTCTCATGGGTTTAGAGTGGAAAATCACTGTATGAGATGATCAAAACAACCCTCAGCAACCCAGTGGCCCCCTGTCGTTGGCATCATGCTATTTACCAGGTTTCGGGTTATGTTTTGGTTTTGCTATGGCCAAGTCGGAGCCCCCGTGGTGTCTTCCTATGGAACTCTGTGTACAGTTGCTGCGGGGGCCCACTTTTCCTTTCTTTATTAAGAAAAGGAAACAGGAAATCAAATGTAAAACCCTCCAACGGTTAGAGTCTCACCAAAGTTATGAATTTAACCACACCCCCGCCAGGAAATGAAACTACAGTTCTCATAGTGATGTTCCCTCACCTTTCATGGCCCACACGGTATTTTTCAGATTTGATTTAGATAAGTATAGATGAAAGGACTGAACTCTGGGCAGTGGGTGTCATTGGGACTTGTTGTTGGGGCATAGTTTAACACAGAAGTTTAGTACTGTGCAAACGGAGAAGGGATTTTCATCTGTTCTATGTTGCTTTGGCTCTGTCACATGTCACCAACTGGGAGGAGGAGGATGCACAGACAGATTCTGACCCATTGATTGTTTTGGCCCACATAGTGTATTTTAAAACTTGCCAACATTTATTTTATTTATTAATTTATTTTGAGGCAGGGTCTCACTATGTATTTCAGGTTGCCCTCGAAGTCACTATGAAGCCTAGGCTGGCCTGGAACTCACAGTGCTCCTCCTGCCCCAGCCTCCTCACTGCTGAGATTACAGGTGTGCATCACCATGCCCAGCCAAATTTGCCAACATTCATTATTTATTTATTTATTTCTAAGTTTGTGTTTTTGTTTTTTTGGTTTTTTGAGACAGGGTCTTGCTATGTAGTTCAGGCTGATCTTGAACTCATTATGCAGCCCAGGCGGTCCTGGAACTTACAAGGCTCCTACGGTCTCAGCTTCCCAAGTGCTGGGATTACAGGCATGTATCACATAAAGCTGCCAGTTCCAAGGAGACAGGATAGATTCCTGACATCTTATGTCTGGCCTTCTGTACATCTCAGCCTTTACTTTGACCTCTTCTTGCTTACATGAGTCTCCTGTCTCCAAGTCACTCGGCCTGGCTGCCCTACATGTACATTTGTTCATAATCTTCCCTGGCCTAAGCATGAGGAATGTTTCCTTTCTTTGCTCTGCCCCGGGATAGTTCTGAATGTGAGGCATATCCACAAGAAAGCTTTGGACCAGCAAAACAACTGAGGACATGTGCCACCGTCATACTGTCACCCAAAGTGCTCATTTTCCTTAGTATATTTGTCAGGCTTCCTGCTTTGCTGCCCAACACTCATTGGTGCTTCCTCCGAAACTAGGCTCCTATCTAGGGAGCCACCCCCCTCACTCCCAGTCACTATGGAGTAAGTGGAGGTAAGTCTGCTATCTTATTTCAACTGAGTGAAACCCAATGAGACCTCTCGGGGATTGCTGAGAGGAGGATGTGCTGTTTTTCCACAA